TCATCACACACCACAGTTACTACCAAGTGCAGGGCCAACTTCTGGTATCAGGAGCAGCTTGGTGTGACTTTGCAGTTGCAGCTCCGATTCTGAATCTTGTTAATTCTTTCGTGCCCTTTTATTATTATTATTTCTTTTTCTGGTAGGTAGTCGCGTACTTTTTGAAATTTATTTCAAGTTATGCTCGACTTCCACTTTTTTCTGCATTTTGTTTGTATGGTGACTTTTTGTGTTGCTTTATGCCAGAGAACCAAAATAAATTGATGATGATGCTTGCTTACATTTTTCTGCTGTCTGACAAAGCGCTGACTTTTTCATCAGCGGCACTTGAGGTAGTTTCAACTAAAGAGCCTGGGGGCAGATCTGGTTGGATCCCTGACAATCCTTTCTCACTTTCGTCAGATTCGCATGTCTCTGTATCAAATGAAGTATCTGGTGACAGATCCTGTTAAATTATGATCAAAAGTTAAATTATGGTATAAGCAGTGGCGGCGCGTGGTCATTTTGACAACCGGGGCAAGCTACTGCGGGACCAAGTCACCCCCATCTACGGGGACAGGATGAGCGCTGTAAGTTCTCCCATCATTTTATGAGTATAAAAAACCATCGTATTTTATTGTTTCCCGGATACGAGATACAGCATCGAAGAAGTCTGAAATACACGACTGCACAGACGCTCCATCCATTCGCCTTGACTGCAATGCGCCGTATAATACATCCACGTAACGTAATAGAATATTGTGGAGAAAAAAAGCGAAAAAAAATGAAAACTCACCATCTTCTAGCAGACGCTTTATACCTGCCGCCTCCCTCACAGAGCGTTCGTCCGAAACCGGAGAGCTCTGAATGCCATTGAAACACTCAATGAGCTCAGACCTAATTTCGGACACGCCCTGCACCATGCGTGATTGGAAGTTCCAACGTGTTGGTGCACAAGCTGGGAGACGGCGGCTACATATCTGGCGAAGGAGGTCAGAGCGCTTCGGCGAAACGGAAAAAAATGAAGAAAACCCCGAAACATTTGCAAAAAATATACGGACGAGAGGGGTATCGAGACACATATTTTTAATAACGAGGTTAAATTGGTGTGCATAACAATGTTAAAAATGCGCATGAGGAAAATCTTCTTTTATATAAACTTGAACACCATGTTTCGACCCACTCATGACTGCCGCGCCGTCATAAGTTTGAGCTATCAATTTTGACTTCGCGTTGTAAGGCTGTAACACTTCTTTCAGTACAGCCGATATCCCGCAAGCCGTGCGATCAACGATTGGTACGAAGCTGTGAAATCTCTCGGTAGGTTTACCATCTTTCACAAACCGAAAAATCACAGCCAGTTGGGAAACGCACGTGATGTCAGTTGTCTCGTCAGACTGAATCGAAAGGAACTGGCAATTCTCAATTTCCAGAGCCAAATGTTGTAAATAAATTTTATACATTGAGTCGAGCAAATCATTTTGGATATCCTTAGATGTCCCTTTCGAAACAGTTGCGGCATCAAGATGATCTCTCAATACTGTATCTGGGGATGCGGTGTATTCCACCATATCCAAAAAAACCTTTATTAGAAGAGCCAGCCCGTTCATCGTGCCCACGGAGGGACAGCTCGTGACAACCAATGAACTTCAAAACATCTATCAATCGACCGAGAACATGGCGGTTTTTCTCGACGTTTTGGTTGTGCCGACGAATAGAAACCGCGCGTCTTTCATCCAACTGTGCTGCAATATTAACATTTCCGGATGTTCGGTATTTTACTGCATTGTCCAGATGCTCCATAGAAGATTGATGATCCCTGGCACGCTCGCAAAGATGTTTAAGATCTCTAAAACCAAATTTACACCAACGTGAGTCACGGGCGGTAACAAAAAGTAGGCAATAAAAACAAAAAAGTGCATTTTCGTCCTCGCTGTAACACAACCATTCGTGTTTTTTATACCAAGTTTCTGCGCAGAATGTACGCCGACGCTTTCCTCCGTCATGGGATTGTTCCAGTGAACAATTTTTTTGGTTGATAAGGCCCAAGACGTTGTACCTCTAATTTTTGTTCTAGCGGCAGCTGCGAAAACGGAGTGCGAAGTAGTGCATCAACCTTATTCATTATGAGGTCTAAGGCTAAGAAATGCGAAGCCGGAAAGAAGTGAGGAGCTCAAAAGGAATGTGGAAAATCGAAAGCAAATGGACTAAAGGTCTCTAACTGATTCAAATAGCGAAACAAGCGACAAAAACGAAGGCGAGGAAACTATCAACTCTTCAAGCAACCAGCGAACGAGAAGGAATGCGTGAATATGTCAACACGTTGTTGTAAGAAACGTCAGCATTGTGTCGTCATAATTTCGGGGCTAGCCCCGATGATTTAGTAAAAGAAACAGAAAACAAACGAGACAAACGCGGCGAGTGGAAGATAAAAGAGAGAATACGATATACAATGAGCAACCGGGGCAAAATCGGCGTCGCCCCGTCGACGTTCGGCGAAGGCTTTGCGAGCGAAAAATGAACCATGTCGGGGGAAAATGGCTAGTGTAGACAGTCTGTGCAACCGATATTGAGGTATTTTTCGAATATTTTTTATTATACCGAAAAAACAACCGGGGCATTGCCCCGGTTGGCCCTATTGACGCGCCGCCACTGGGTATAAGTAAACCTTACCTCACAATTTGATGGTGCTTTTCTGTTGAGCGACAAGAATCTGATATAGGGTCAGGGTCTTCATCAGTTGGTCCATCGCCTCCATGAAAATGCATGATGGAACGCATTGCTTGTATGAAAATTTATTTCATATAAGAATTAACATATTGAATATATCATAGGTATCGAAAACAATATTTATCTTGGCCTACCTTGGTACACACAAAGGTATTTCTGGTGATTTTTCATAGATTGAATATACTGTGAGGTCTGTTGCATCCTTTATCCACCTCATTGCTTTTTGGCAGTCAATGTGTGGCTTCGGAAAAGGCACAAATCTCACTCCATTTGAACGGCAGTGGTACCGTACAGGTTTTCAGACCGACAAATACCATATGCGCAGCGTTTACATATAGTTAGTCTACCAAAATAATTCACTAATAGATTCTGTTTGATAAAAATGCAACATCGTATCGAAGACAAATTCTTCCGTAATGACATACGGTAGGCTACCGGTACCCTTGATTGCATCAGCATGACTGTCTACTATTTTTTGGTTCGAAATAGCAGTTGTGACCTGTACAGTACCGTACCTGTAAGGTGCCTGCAACGGGTACAGCCTTTTAGTATAGTATAGATATATAGATTTCGTGAAAGTGATTTGCAACTAGTAACATACAGGATAGGATAGGGGATAGGATTTACATATTTATCCCGGGGGAGAGGAAAGCCGATAAGACGGCTTATCCATATGGCGAACCACGGCCTCTCGTCCGGTTACCATTCCAAGTCAGGTATGGGATTAGTTAGCGGAGAATGTTTGTTTACATTTGCTCGCTTGTGATTGGTTGAAAATACGGATGTTTTGATGTCGGGGAAAGGTCCATAGATAGAGACATTCGTAAACGGGAGGGACAAAGTCAGTTCACGCAATCGCAATTGTTACTTAACTATGGGAGCGAAAAAGTTGTTACACGATCGTTGCGTTTGGCGTATGTGCAGTAGACCTCCGTCGCAGAACTAAATCGTCGGTCCGTTAAATGTAGCTGTAAAGTAGAGGGATAAACGAGGCTAGTCGTGTAAGAATATACTCTTGAATTATATAAAGAAGCTATGTACAGAATTAATTCAGTTCCATACGTTCGATTAGTACCGGCAGTCCGAATATCAGGGACAAATAGATCGAAATCTTGTCGAATTGCCGGCCACAGTATTTGAAGTTAGTATGTATTGATTCAGATTTCTTTCGTCTATGGAGATGTGAAAGATGTAGGTTTATAAGAATATTCTGCCCCCCCCCCCTCCCCACACCCCCAGCCCGCTCTGAGTCGCTACGTGAGATCTAAGTTAGCCTAAATTGTAGTCTAAATTTTATATTTAGTTCAGAACTTATGGATAGATTTTTGGAACGGAATAAAAGGACAAATGTTTTTGGATCTGAAGTCAAACCTGCTTTATCCCAGAAAAATTATTGAGGAAAGAAAATTTGTGCAGTGAAAAGCAACATCATCCATCACATTAATGCCGTTTGTTTTATTGTGTTGTAAATAAAACATTTTTCGTAGTTCAAGAGGTCCGTGGCCCAAAACGTTTGGGAAACACTGCAGTAACCTATATGGTTTGAAAATATTTGTTTTTCGCTGTTTAGATATTACACGGATACTTGGCAATGTTTTATAAGAAATTTTCAACGACTTAAAATTGGGCAGACCATAGATTTGATTTTCAGGATTTTATTAAATCTAAAATAAATGATGAAACATCTACTCCGGGTACAATTACATAATTAAATTAAGATATTAAATATAGCATAAAAAATACCAATATTTGTGACGATTCCATTGAGAATGTGCCCACAGAGCCGAGCTTATTGGCAGCTGTGGAATTTTTGGATATGTGCAGTTATCTGCCTATTCAGTGATCATTCGTTTTTGTGTATGACCGATTTACAGATCAGTCGATCGCGAGCTATTTTGAAGATTTTAGTCGATCGTGGTCGAAAGAAGGTTGGCCACGTCTGATATACATGATTTTAACCACTGCAATCATAGATTTTTCAGGCCATTTTAGGAGCCAAAGCAATTTATATAACGAGATGTGAAGAATGAATGTCCACAAGACAAATATTAAATATAAAAAATTTGTTTTGAGAAACGTAACAAAACTAGGAGTGAAAAGAGAAAAATGGAATGTTCTGTCTGCCATCATTATTGAAATACTATTGTCAGTTTGTGTCTGATTTTTAAATGAAGAAACGATCTTCTTCTTATTTGTCTTGAGGGAATCAGGCATAACATTGCAAAGTTTGTATTAACTACTTATAATCAGCATTGCGATAGACTATATCTGTATAGAATCCAATAAACTGATTTAGTGAGATCATATATTTTATAATCGTCATAGCACTATTTACAAATACCGAAAAAGAAAAAAACAATATTCCGGGTTTTCAAATTTCTAATTGACTAGCTTGACCGGATATTGGCTTCTACAGAAAACACACATGAAATATAATGAAAAATGAGACTTGACTGTACACTCGCTCTGTTGCAACCAAATGTAGTTAAATATAAGGATTGAATGAAATGACCATCTCAACGATTTCTTCCTGGATGCAAGATAGGCCACACACTTTTCTGTGATTGAGAAATTATCGATCCAAAGTACGTTTGGTTCATTACAAACAATCACATTTGAGAAAAGGGTTTTACGGACGTTTTACTGTCTTTGTATTCCCGTGCCAATAATAGCAAGGCATGACGGTAGTGCAGACTTGTCGTTCACAATTTTGCAAAGTGTGTGATGGATACGCATAAGTTTTCAGCGGGATACAGACACTAAAACAGAAATATTGTACATTTTTTTTATTTTAGCTTTGTACAAAAGTGGTATTATATATAGATTATAAAATAAATAAATGAATTTCACTATAACGAAGTTTCTAGTAAAATATTTATTTTAAACATATTATAGTATGCCATTAAGAAGTCAATATTCATTTACTCAATGATATTCTTTTGCCCGCACGCACACGTGCGTAGAAGAATTAAAAACGAAAACATTCATAACCCCATTAGTGTTCATTCGATGACTCCCGTTTTTTTTTTAACTTTGCAATACTCCATTTCCCAATATCGCTTATACGAGGTAAACATTTAAATTATTATAAAGATATTCAGTTAAATAATAACGATTCTTACTTTTGGCAATAGAAGTAAGTTTTTGGACAATGGACACAACAATCTTTTCCGTCCTGATTAGCTTTTGGGTTATAAAGTGCTCCTGGAGGGATCACGCCATGAGAGTCGGGTTTTGGTTTGGTTGCTTCTTTTGCTACCTCAGCCTGATAATATATTAAAGCCTATGGTAACCTCGGAAGAGATATGAGCAATGTCTCGTTTTTATCGCTAAGAAGATTACGTCAGCTTCAAAACAAGACTAAAGTGAATGTGTAGCTCCAAGCGAGACGCGGTATATCAGTGTGAATATCAGGGGTGGGCAAGGTTTTTAGACCAGGGGCAAAAAATTTTGCCCACCTAGAATGCCGGGCCGTGTGAGTGTGACGTAAAAGTTACATTTTATGAACAGTGTTAATGCAGAGTTACAGGATCAAAGTAGAAAACAATTATCCCGTGCCAAAACTAAATTTAATCGCAATCGTAACAAATTTCTTGATATATTTTTCGCTAAAACATCAAAATTTGAATTTAGTTTAGTTGTGGCTGCATCAGGCGGGCCATATTGAATTACCCAAAGGGTCGGATTTAGCCCGCGAGCTGTAGCTTGCCCACCCCTGGCGAATATCGTCACATGTTGTTACCGAATTGGCCTATTTTTCCGCATAACTCGTCAGGACTTATTTCTTCTTGTTTTGCGTAATAAAGAATGATTGGTGGCTCGCTCAAAATACTTTTCCTTGTCTAGTAAACATAGATTTGTTTATGTTTGGAAGATTTTGATAATTTAAAGGCGTTTCACCACCTGGACTCACGGCGAAAACAATAAAGGTGAGAAAGCAAATTTCACACAACCTGTGACGTAGCGAAAAAGCTCGGATCAAGCATGGATCCTGGTTGAATCCAACCATTTGAAGTGTTAAAGTTTAGTGCAGACCACTATGAAATATTATCGAACCCTAAAATACATTTATATTAACCCTGAATAATAAATTATGTCTCGGGTTGGCAAATTATAGGTGGGCTTCCTAAGAGTTTATAAATTCATAATAGAGACCGTAACCTTTTCTACGTTGCAATGGCAACGTTAATAATTTACCAAATGATCGGCCTCCTCTCTACTTCCTTTGACAAAATGCTGCTCCATTATGTACATGTTCAAACCTTTGCATCTCTTTTTAATCGCTAATGGTAGAAAACTTGTATCAGATATTTTTTTGCTACTAGGTCGCCACTGACGTTTATCTATTTCTGCCACTTGCTCATTACCCTGTTGTATGGAAAAAAAATTCTGTGAATTTTGTTTCAAGAAAAATCTTTAAAAATTCATTATTGTGTTCCTTTTTTTAACCAATGATGCTTCTCACACGCATTACCAAAAAATTTTAGTATTCTGTAATGACCAACTAAGTTATTTATACTCACCACCATATCCGTTAATCCTTTGGTTACCATGTCTTCGTCCAAATCGAAGTTGTTAGGATTTATTCTTCGTGAGATCAGACAAAATGTCTGATTATCGTTAAAGCCAGTTTGATTAATAGGATATGCTTTGTACCCAGTCTGCAGAAACCAAAGAAGCGTGAAAAGTATGTTATATTTGATATTGTCCTTAGCAGCGATTTAATTTCTGTCTTCCAGTCATAAACTTTGGAGATATTAAAAACGCAAAAATTTATCGTTGTCGATATTTTAAATATACTTCTTTTAACAAGATTTTGTCAGTAGAAGGTATATTTTTCAGCGTATTCACTATAAGGATTGAATCATACACAAGTCTATTTAATTTTACCATTCACTCAATACTCACATCTAAATCCCAATAAAATACGCTGTCCCCAGTTTGAAATTCTCTGCCTCGCAGATGTCCATCTTTTTTGTTGTACTCTATTGTATCGTTTTGCCATCTCCCATTCGCAATGAAACTGACTTTGTAATAAGTTGACTGGAAATGAGAATGCCCGGGTATAAAAACTAGGTAAGACTGGACAATAATAGATATAAAACTAAGGCATTTCGTTTAGATATACACTGTAAAAAAATTTGTAATTTTACAGCCATTTCTTTGTAAATAATACGACCGTTTGGCAGTATTTTGGACGAGCAACGATTTATACGTATTTTTACATCATCGTGTTGTAATTTCACCACTTGTATGATTTAAAATTACATAATATGTAACATTATTAATATGTAATATTACATAATATTATACTGTTGCATAATCATAAAACAAACATACGGTTGTTAATTATACAATGAATTATACGTAACATACAAAAACGTCTGTACTGAAAACAACTATTTCGCGGTTATGTTAAAATAAGTCCACTTGGTAGTAATCAAAAGCATAGAGTTCAGAAGACAGTCTTCCACATATTATCAGCAAAATGCATGCCAATGAAAAATAAATACATTGGTGCGACGAATTTGGTCCCAAACTGATATAAATTTGGCTTCGCGTCATAAGGCGCAAGTCATACAATGCTACGTAAACCTGCGACTTCGTATGTCATCGCGACATAGAATTTATAGCTTACCCTAAAAAAATCTTGATATTGCACTCAATATTATATCGAGTGGAAGGATATTTTACTTTAGGCATCATGTGAACTAGTGATTAAACTTTCAGCAATCATTCTCAAACGGACAGGTCTACTTGCAGTCACGACTCCAACTACTGGTGAATTTAGTAGTTTTATGCTGTATCGCTATATCTTTTATCGGACCAAAGTATATGCAAATGTTTCGGTTAATATAATTTTGAATTGAGTGGCATATTTTATTAATTTAACTATTTGCCTAATGCTCCTAAGTTTTAGAAATATCTCAGATCGCAACGGATTCGAAATTTGAATTTTCTGACTCCGCCAAAGCCTGACGTACTTTCCCGCCAAAAATGGCTGTTTAGTGCGGATTCCAGTTTCGCTAGGAAGGAAGCAGCTTGACTTGGTTCGACTCTCAAAACAATTAAAGTAGTTTGAAAGTGTAAACCTGTAAATTTCACACTATGGTACCTGAAGGTTGTAAAACAGAAAGTTTGGAGAAAGAAATACCGTTACCTATAGGTTGTAAACTCTGGACTACTGGTGCTGTAGACCATAGGTTCTCAAAGTGCTCAATACGGAGCCCCGGGGCTCCGTGGGAGAAACCTAGGGGCTCCGCGAGCAATTCGATCCCGGAGTCCCCGTTAAAATCTCATTGCATGAGTACAATTTACAATTGAGCAATCCATGACCGATGCGGGCATATTTAAAATGCCTTATTTTTTGGCTTAATGGTGTTCAGTGTAACCTGCGGTTGCTCGACTCACGACAATATTAAATCATTACTACTCAAAATTACCACAGCATTCCGCCGACATGAAATGAGAAACAAAGTCAGTAAACGAAGACCTTGTGGTCTACCGTATATCTTGAACAACGCTGTTATCATAAGATATTAGAAGCATTGTCGCACTGCCCACGAAAGAACATACCCACTACTGGTCCCGGTAGTTTGATTAAGATATTTGTTCCCGTCCCAATTAAATCATAATCATGACTGATTGCATCGCAGTGTTGCAGTTTACAGCGATTTTAGCGTTCTTACAACACTAACGCCGCCCTATTGCAGGTCTGCCACTCAGATTCTTTTTAAGATATCACCGTTTGAAAAATCCCAAGTTTTGGACAAAATACGAAGGATTGAAATTTTTTATTGTAATAAAAAATTGATATATACTTTACACTAATTATCATATATATCGTCACATACCGAGAAAAAGTCGCATGCGGCTTCGACGGTAGTTTCAGAATGTAAAAAAGGCACATCGCCTGATCAATTGATTGTGTTTCGATTTCAGTTACTACGATATAATTTCCAAAAAAAAAACTGACAAAATATCGCGAGTCTGCTAAAACAAAAATTTTGGGGTTTTAGTTTTAAAATTATATAATGCCGCTTTTCAATCAAGAAATTTGGGTTGCTGATTCACCTCTTTAGTAATTATTTTTAGCATTTCGTTGCTGATGATTATAATATACTAACTTGTTTTTCTCAGTAAACTCATAATTCCACAATACATGCATATGCCAATGAAAATTTGTGCTTTGGGTAAAATAAACACCGACGTAAAGATATTTACGGTCTAAAAAATACATCACACTGACGAAAACAATCGGCGATTTCACCAAAATGCAATCGCGCACGGTATTGGCTACTTTTCAAAAATATCAAAAGGGAGGGGGTCCAACCCAAAATTTATTAATGTTTTTCAAATGTCAAATTACAACGTTAATATGTATAATTTATCTGTAAAATTTAGATTTATTTATGGCTTGTATTAACCCTCAGTAAAAAGGTTTAGCATTTGAATCAAGTAAAGTAGTTTTAACTTACTCAGAAACATTAATCGGTACGTAACAGTGTGTTTTTGTTTGTTTGTTTTATTTAAGAAATTTATTTATGGGGCTCAGTGAATAGTAGTCAACTTCTTCACGGGCTCCGCAACACCAAAAGTTTGAGAACCCCTGCTGTAGACTACCGGTAGATCTCCAGGTTTTGCAAGGTGGGTTAATTTATGCCATATCTGTCATTATTAATCAATTTTGCATTAATTGGACTGACCTGTTAACTACAGCATTGTCGTACTAGGTCTACATAGGCCGTACTAAGGTCTCTGATTTTTCGTATTTTTCAAAAGCAAAATTTCAGGCAATTCTGATGATGTTAGCCTAATATGTTACAATAAATAGCCTAATGGCAGACTGGTATGAAATGATGATTCGAGATTTGTACTAGCCTAGTCTAAAATAAAATGCATCTGGAAAGACATCTCTAGTGAAACTGCAAGAGTAGCTACTGCAGTAGACAGTCATGAACTTTCCATGCCTATATCATTTTCATACATCTTCAATCTGCTGATTCTTTTCAATTCGAGGGTGGAAAAACATATCCTGCCATTTTACCTCTGGGGCATCCGCATTTGGCCCTTATCAAGTCTGTCATCGTATCAACACCACAAACGAATTTCTGGAAAGGTGAGGAAATGATAGTCTATTGATTTTTCGATGGCAATGGTATGGACTCAACTGTTTAATAACTCAAAGCCTTGCTTATAAATATGGGCATTTCATATTACTGTATACAGCTGTATAGTGAGCCTCCTTTCAATAAGTTGATTTTTGTGCAATGATTAGGAAAATATATTCAAACATAGTTTGTTGTCTTTTTATATAACAATTTCATTGTTTGGAGAGATAATGATATAATTGCGGGCTCCAGAAATGATCTATAATAAATTTATAATTGTACTATTTTGCTGGCGGAGACAATCACTTCTCGAGTGTATTTGATACTATTTCGTTGCTGATATTTGATCACATATTTTATTAAAAGTGATTTCTTTTCGATTGTATTTCATTTCTTCAGGTGGTGGCATGAGGGTTAATCGAGTTACTTCGCGGATGTTGTTTAGTTTTACAACTTCTTGTAGTTAAGGTTAGCATCGCTATGACTGTAAAAATGGGAGACATCCAACCCACTGCTTTTGCCTAGTACATACATTTGGTTGTAAAATTACAACCGCGCAACGATCCAATACATCTGAAGTTGTATATGGTGTTTACAACGAAGTGCATGGCATCGCCGCTGCCGCGCGTTTGGTTGTAAATCGCCCTTAATATTTTTTACAGTGAAGAACCAGATAAAAAAAGAGCTAACACAGTTAACAGCACCATAACAAATGGGAAAAAGTATGAATAAATGAAAATAGTCATATAATACAAAATTTTACTTCATTTCAGCGAGATTGTAATTATTGTATTATCAGTAGATTTAGCGCAAACTTTAAAACGACTTAAAACGATCTATAAGTATATATAAAATTCTGTTGACTTCGTACATTTATTTGTATTGTTGTTCGCTCTAAAGAAAAATACCATTGTACTAATAACTTCGATCAAACTTTTTGACTCACTAGTTCGACTGAATTCCAGTTATTCGCAATGAAAGTACAAAATCCAGCAATTGTAAGGCAAGCGATAGCAAGAGCCGCATATAGAAATACTGAAGGATCATTCTTCTTTTTGCGTCCGCAACCACCATGCTGTCGCTTTTGCTAAAAATATGAAGTACAGTTAATTCGCATATATAATTATATAATCTGCGTGAAATTCAACGATTGTTAAGTGAAATACAACTACACAACGATAGTTAAAACACTTACCGCCATGGGCATTAAAATCTTCATAGAATTCGCATTCGTACTATCGCCCTCACTATAATTTGATAACATTTTGAATGATGTTTTCAAATATGATAGAATCCCAAAATCATAATATAATACTAGTTGAATTTAATCTTCGAGCATCAGTAAATTTAGATTTCTATTTGTTTTTAAAAAGTACGACATTCCACGCGAAAGACTCTACAGTTAGATCGCAAGAACAATTGTTCCGAGAGTCAATATAATTTGATATTGACAGCCTCGACGACGTTGCTTTTTATATGCCTGTGCAATGTTTCTACCGCCTTCTACTCCAGTATTTTTAAATATCGATCTTGCAATTGGCGACGAATATTTGAATAAACCTGATATGCGTAACTGCAATCAGCTTGAGTGAAATTCAAAGAATCAACGCGTTATTGTTTCGAATCAATGAAGTTAAAAGTTCTCGTGTATGTTTAATTCAAATGTGAGCAGGTGATATTCCCCTTGATATATTTTTCATTTTATCAGTAATGCCGCAATAAAATATGACAACTTTGTTTTGTATATTACATGTCTATTTTTTGCAAATCTTCGCTAAAATAAATTTTAATGAAGGCTTCCGCGGCCAACCATTCTTCATTTGAGTTGTTTTTGAAGGTGGAATTGTTAAATATTTATCATACTGAAAAAATAGATGAATTTTCATCAAGATTGGTTACAGATAAATTCTCCCAAATTTACCCGTCTATTGTATTTACATTCCTATTATCGAAAAAGCTAATTTTAAATTGGATTAAATTGAATAAATACACAATGCTACTCCTTTTAATATTTATTGCATTTATATTGAAAAGCATATTCGCTTTATATATTAATTAAATTCACCATTGCAAAGGAGTGTATTTCAAATATCTGCATGATTCATCTTTTCTCTGGTATTTTATGATATAGTGATAGAGTTAAATGAAATTAGTCGTTTCGATTCTTATTAGAAACATTCATACATTCTTATAAAAAGCGCTTATCAAATTTAGATATTGGAATATATTCCACCGCGAAAAACAGTTTTTAAAACTGCTTTTTGATAAACTTATTTTGCACGTTTATTTGTTTTTCGTTTTGGAGATTGAAGAAACTCTATTAGGCAATGTACCCAACAAATAATATAACGATTTCACGTTTATATTTAGTGAAGAAAAAGATTGAGAGTGGTGCTCAAAAATGAAACCAACATACCACGCACCAAGTGGTTTTCCTAATTCTTACCGCCCTCGCGTATTCGCGACTCCGCATTTAATAGAAATAAAGGGAAAATTGATTAGAAAATTTAGCTAGATTTATTGCAGCTTTAAAAATTACCAATACTCTACATTCTGGCTGGAATAGGTTTAACAGCTCCGGAATGCACACCGGTGACAGATATTGATTTAAAAAGATTTTTCTAAAACAATTGTTTCTACTAGAGTTTTTTTTACCTGTTTTGTTGAAAATGGCGGTCCAATTTGTTTCTTTTGTATTAAATGAGTTAAAATATTAAAAATGGATGTAAAAACCTACCTGTTTGATTCTTATCGTCAATATATCATTCGAAACGCCTATGGGTTGTCTTTATACGATACTTCAAGCTGTAGCGGTTTTAATTTGATCTCGTGTGGTACGCTGACGCCCAGTCATTTTCGAACGGCAGTGATCGGTACCGTAACGAAGTAATTACTAAATGCCTGGTACAAATAGAAGTCTCATATGGTCTCTTTACCGGAAATTTTCACCAGATTCGATAGAAAGGTAAACCTCATGCATAATGGCAATGTGCAAGTATTGGGACAAAAACATTGTTAGACTAATAGATCAAATGATTGGGCATTCATACGAAAGACAATTTGTGTTTACATTCTTATTTTTCGGTATATTATAATAGTAAAGTTTGATCACCTTAAAAGACAACTGGCTGTATGAAAAATATGTGATTGCCCAACGGTGTATTGGTCGGCGCTGAGTAATTTCACTTTTCTGTTTAGAATTCGTCATAAGATGCTTTGTCGATTTTCCATTGCTATACATAAGACATTGCTATTGCTATACATAGGTCATGAAATCACAATCCGGCAGCTAGCACTAAAGATGTGCTTTCTCTCATTGTAGATTTGTTGATCGCGACGAAATTTTTAAACCTCAGCGTTAGATATATAATACTACATAACCGAAAATGGCTGTTATATGCTTGCTACGATATTTCAATCAGATAGTCGACTATGCAAACTGAATGCATAAAAATGTTTGGCACGAGAAGTTTTTGTTTTGTTTGTTGCACTCTTCGTTGAGAAGGTTGTTTTTCAAACATGCACAATTTTCTGGTGACAACTACTATGAGTGGCACATTTCAACAGGTGGACTTACTCATTCTTTTCACCCTTGAGATGCAAATACATTGGTATTGATATATTCTCAATCCAAAAAGGATTTATTCGAAATAAAAACGAATACCGAACGTCTACAAACATGCTGAAAATCACGGAAACAGTTTATACAATTTCATTGATAATAGAATATTGAACGACTTTATTTGCTGCAGGTCTTCAAAAAGTGCACTTAAAACTACTTGGCGTTATTTCACGAATAAGCTGAGGGAGACATTTTTTTTTATATTGCTTTGATGGTTGCCTATTGCAATATACTAGTGATCTAGATGGAAATATAAAGACACAAAAAATCCAAACCGACTTTAAAAAATTCAAGACTTTGATTGATTAAAAATGCTATTACACTATAGCTATTATATGTTCATTATACCCTGACTTTTGATTTGCTCCTTTTTTGCAGTCGACAAAATTTCAGGATATTTTACCGGTTTCCAGTCACCCATACATGATTACAGACTACGTGCACTTTTACATACCAGTCAATGATAAATACAATGTAGGCCTAAATGATAACACGAGCATAAAAATGAACTTTCCCAAAAATCCACATCCCACTAAATTCACCCTCACTACCTTTTTCATACAATGAAACATTTATTATTTAGGGTTCGCCGTCTTTCTTCATTACCAACTTTCATACCAACCAAGGGAGCGAGCGTATCGGCTGCTGCCAGTAGAGCTTTTTACGCTTTAGACGCGGTGATTTTGCTTTGCATTCGCATGTCTGAGGAATAGTTGTTTCGTTGAGTCCCAACACTGTACTAGAGTAGGCTTGCCGTAATATGTCAGTGGAGAGTAGATGCTGACTGAATTTGACACGATGTCCTGTCACCTGGTGGTACCGGTGCACCACTACCGTGCTCAAACCAACCTGCAAACAGAACGCGGTACTATACTGGTAACTTCATTTGTTACGTTTTAGTTGCAATCGGCATGTTATAATATTAAAACGACTGTCAAAGCAACATTCGCACACATCGAGCTCTTCAAAGCAGATACGAATAGCAACCGCGCGAACTCTGAAACGGCGCGCGAGAGCGAGCGTCCCCTCAAAAATCAGTGAAAACGTTGCCGGCAGCATCGGTCAGAGGTCATGAAAGTTGGTAATTGATAAACTGCATGTCAGTCTCTATTCAACAACATAACCCCGCTATAGCACCAACTATCGAGAGCATATTATTGTCATGGACATAATCAACCATATTGTAAAAAAAATGGCCTACTTTCCTTTTCTGTTGCCTCCAAGTGGCGGTTTCATATTTTAGTCTGCTCTTCCAAAATAATTGGTAAATAACGCGTCAGTGCGTATGTTGCGTTATTCATAGAGTTACCACGTAACATATAAAAACCGGAAAGAAACTTTTGAGGAAATACATCAAAGACATCTTCAGTCAGAAATGAATCAGCATATTTGTACGATCGAAAGAATTTTAATGCGCTACTGTGTGTTAACGTTGACATTTTCGTTCTAAAGATATTTTTGACACAGATGTAAGGAGCCGCTTTCCCAACCCTGTCTATTTTTGTTCTCTTCTTCCGCATCAGGAACCCCAAACATTGTTGCTTGGTCGGATAAGCTGAGCAACGGATAACAAAACTTTTTGTACGATGAATCTCGGAAAACCAGTGCATAAGGGCAAAAGAAACAAAAAAAAATTAATTTGAATATTTTAACAAGAATTTTACTGAAACTCAGAACAATTCATGAATTCTCGAAATAATAATATAAAACGAGGTCAACAAGTTTATCTAGGATTTCGAAAAATTAAATTAACTTTTTTTTATGGAGGACATAATTGAATTTGATAGCCTCGGGCCACATCACCATGGCTGGTCAGTTTCATTGTAATTTATCCCAGTTTCATACTTGACCAGGAGGAGATGGAGATTTCTTGTATACGATTACCAAAACGCCTGATATTTCCACCAGTTTATCGTTTTCTGAATCGAACGAATCCATATAGCCTGAGTGAATTAAGTCTTCCATTTTACGTGCTAAGGAATTTCAAACCTAATAGTTTGCAAGTTTTCCTGAACTCTATTCAAAGTCCCCAAAATATCTCCACCTTAATCTTCAAATAATTTGATTATTCCCTCCCTTCTGTTTTGATTTGTGTTCACGTTGTGCTTTTGACTGCGGAAGCTGTATTGAGCATTTTACCTAGCACCCTGCATATCTGCAACATCTAAAACAACAATGGTGATAAATTGGATATTGTGCAAAACCCAAATAAAATAATTTGTTTAGAATATGCAGTGTACATGTCAATGATCGAATATCCAGTGCGTGCGTTTTCCTTTGATTTTATATTCCTCAACAATGGTGTTTCTTATTCCCTCACTATGCAAAAACTAAATTTCTATCAGTTCAATCGGTATGTTGGAAGAGGTGTTGCTATCACAACAACGTCGGAAAAAATGATTCAGTGAATTCTTGTTTTGACGCTATCAAGTATCAAGGTAACCTCTTCGCAGAACAACTTGCTGAATCTTAAATAGTTCATATATATTTAACAGTGTGCGATCACAAAACACTGATGAAATCGACGGATAAATACACAAAAAAATACCAAAATACATTTTGTAATAATATTGACTAATTGAAGTCATCATATTATATTACTCGTAAATAAAATGGGGATCATGTCACCACATCAATATTTGATGCATATTCAGTAACTTAGAAATTATATATATTACCAGTACATTGCTACTGATCACTATCATACAGTAACTCTATTATTATTTGTACTGTTTTAGTGTTGCTAAATAATTGAGGAAAATTTGGTTTTTCATGTTGTTCACTCCGATGCCGTAATGAACCCCATCGAAAGTATGTACATTTTTAGTCAAAGGTGTGAAATCTAGAACTCTAATTGAATTTCGCCTGCAATAACTACGCATTCCTCTCTCAAACTTAGTCTGTTTTGTGTGGTATTGTTCTTTAAGGTGTCGGGTCGGCTTCAAAAGACCGTAGTCCATGGGAAGAGAAAATAAAAAGCGAGGCCACCTTCTGCTTTGTGGTATATGTTGTTTATGTTTGTAATGTAGACTGACTTCCCGAATTGCGGGGGCCATGAAGTGTCGGATAGCGAGATCAATTTCCATTCGAATGTGAAATCCAATTCCTACCACCACGTACGTTCCACGTTTACCCGCAAGACGTTTAATAAGTTTACGAAATTGAGGACCGAATCTTGAATGGTAATATTTCCTGAATTCGGCCTTGAAGGTAACATTTCTCCCATCGCCACAGAGGGAATCGCGATACTTCATGTCATCCATAGTTTCAATCATTGCCCTGCAATCTTTAAAGTAATTCAGTCCATAATTAGCGCATTTTACATACTGCTCGGTGGAAATGACACCCTTCTTCCAGAAACCAGTTATTGGTTTTCCCGTTAAGATCATAAGCAGGCCAATGTACATGCTTTGCATGTACGAGTCTCCGACGATGTATAGCTTTTTCACCGGTGAATGCTCGATTACATCACACGCCTCCGGAGCGGTAAATTGTTTCCACTTGCACATATAGCTGTACGGTAACCATGTCATCAGTTCAGCATGTTGTAGTTTTCGAACATCCGCACAACTGTAAAATAAAAAGAAATTTGATGGAGTTAACAATTGTACAGTCATCTCCGTGCAATCCTTTGTTGTAATAGTTGAACTGGGCTTGGGTCACTCTACTGCAGAGATCACCAACCTTTATGAAGCAACGGGCTACTTTCCAGGTACCGATTAAGCTAAGAGCACTCTTCTGAAAAGTCAATTCGATACTAATGATATTTTGCCATGGAGAGAATGATAATGTGTCAATTTTGAACTCCGTCTGTCCAGCATCAAGGCTGAACGTTGCTCAACAATACTAATCACGCATGGCTCCAGCTGACCCAGTGTGTATGATGTCATAATTGGAATGACCCGTGACAATACCGATGTCACATATAGAAAAGGTTGACCAGTACAACAATTAATATATTGTCATTTACATTTCTCATATAATGTTCAAACGAGAATAAAATTAATAGATGTAGCTTACTGATAAGCGCCATTATTTTAGTTATTTTAGAAAAGGCCTGCGGGCGACTCATATGGTCCTTGTGGCCGACTTGGTGCCCGCGGGCAACGGGTTGGTGACCCCTTCTCTACTGTCTATAATCTCGTCTAGAAACCTAAGCCAAAAATAGCAAGTCAAATTTTCCCTGCTTATATATCTCATAAAAGAAAACTCAAATAACAGTCTGTAATAACATCCCAATTGATTGTTTATTATATCTCTGTGTTGATGTAATGAAATGCTTGAAAAATGTGAAGAATGCAGACATGTAATCTCCTATATACACCGTGGTAATTTCTGCGAGGAGTTGAGTGATGTTTATAATTTTTCAATATATAGTGGGTTTCATATTTCAAAACTGACTCTATTACATTTTTATGTCAAAAAATATACGATTTTACGTTGGTATTTTTTGTCAGCGAAAAAGGCATTGTAATATCATTATTACATAATCACTCTCTCTTTCAGTTTTTATCGAACAAAAAATATAATAGTGCGATTATTCCTATCTACTCCTTTGGAATAGAACTTACTTTGTACAAGAACATGATCCAGCTTGAGCCGACACACAATATCCTAGAAGCTTATTATTGCAGCAAGGTCTTGGTCCTTTCGGGTCACACCATGTTCCAATAGGCGGTCGTCTAACGTTACTTTCTCTGAGCCTAGTACCAGAATAAAACGTTTTTGTGTTAAGTAAGAGTGAAACAGAGAATACGCAGAAGGATCCATGCACACTTGAATATGATTGATAAATGACCAGTAATTTTTATTCTTGATTATAGCTTTTTCATTCTTGAATGCCCGACGTCAATAAAATTATAGTACCTGTAATATCCACAATTCGTTGTTGATTTCCATGGATCTTCAGGAATACCTCGCAAACGCCAGACCGACTTCATGTCCTTATCCAACTGTCGCTTTTTCTTACTTATATCGATCATAAAAGCCTTCTTTTTCTTTTTACCGCCTCTCAAAAAGGCAGAATTGTGCACCCACCTACCAACCAGTACATGCTTCAGAAAATCATCGCCACATCGGGGTACAAATCTCTGTTTTTTGAACTCGTTTGACTCTTCTTCATCTGGTACTTCAAGTATTGCTGTTAATGTGTCATTTTTTGCATTGCCTGTTTCAGATTTGTCCTCACCTTCGCATTGGCCTCTCACATTATAGCATAATGTGACAAGTAACAGAAGAAAAACTGTCCCACGTGCCTTTGCAATCATCGTTCCTATCTAGACCACAAGAAAGAGTGATGAAACTAAGGATCAAGCCCGCTTTTATTCTAAATTTATTTTTAATTTCGAGAGAACAGATACTAAAAACCGAAAAACAATAAATTTTATATTGTTCAAAAATCTTGCGATACCGGTTGATAGTATCAAAAATACATCGACATGATATAGCATCACTTGAGTAATTGAACTGCCTTAGTAAACTGACTTTTACTCGGCTGCTTTTCGACGACAATTTACCGATTGCGGAAGTATGGAATCGATCAGTCATTATTAGAAGCGTATAGAGGAGAGTTTGAAAATAATTCGATCAATTTTAACTATGCTGTTGAAATAATTTTGAATACTGGTTATAAATGATAACAACCGGAATGATCGAATTGTATTCATAAACATTATACTGCGCTATAGAATGAGAGATTTCATCGCTGATATGATATTAAAATTTACTGCCCTTTATACAGGAATTTCAACATTATAAATATTTCACAAATTGCACGAATTAAATAAAATTCACCGTAGCTATAAAATTAGTCAAAAACAAAAGCCACTTGCGCTTTCAGCTTTGTATTTGGATGACAGAATTTCCTTGAATCACAAAAATAACTTTGTAACAATGTTACAATAATTTTGTCAATAACAAATCGATAGGCCAAAATATCCTTCACAGCTGAGTATAAAGCACAGATATAGCGCACCGACAAAGAGAATTTAACTGATGCTTATTCTCGACAAAGTTATTCGCTATGATCATAGATTAGTGTGCTCAGGCCATTGCAAAATTCTCATGTAAAAATTTCTAACTCTTTAATTGAACGATAGTTCCTTTTCAAAGAAATGGCCGCATAAAACTTTTTATCAAAATAATTTCTGATTGGCTTTAAAAATCACGTCAGTACATATCCAATATTATCACCTCACGTCCTCCATTATATAGTATAAAAAGCATTCCCTTTTTCGTGTTTTCGTCGAACAAGTGATTACGTATTTTTTAGTAGCGCTTGTTTCGGAAACAAATCATCGCGTGGGCGAGACATGTAGTCGTAGAAGATATATTATCTTAATTCATGTAAGACACAAGCCACACATCCAGATATCGATTGAGAAATTTAGCTCGTTTTATCCACGGACAATGCTAGGTAAAAGCTCTATTTTTAGGTGAATAATTGAAAAACTGTTGGTCTCTTTTTGTTTTACGATTTTTTTTAAAGTATGCACTATTACTGAGTGAATAAAAAAGACAAACAGACCTGTGAAAAAATATGATTTATAATTTCCGTTTTAGTCAGGCATGGATCGTATTTTAATTTGATAATTGACCTCGTTTTGGCCACTTTTCGTTAGATGATTTTCAAAATTGATTTTTTATATTTCAATAAAATGCATTTTCATTTCGCGGAAAATTTCAGCTCATGACGTAAAATCTTAGACATGTACGCAACAAGGAGTCGATCAAAATACATAATCTCCATTTATCAAAAAGGGAATTTCTATTGTAATTAAAATGGAATGGAGAAAATCTCCAACGTGATCGCGATCCCCATATAACAGCATTATTTGAACTTTGTTTCCGATTAGAATGTTTATTTGGCTTTCGATAGTGGTAAAATTAATTGATCTGTCAGATTTCAATTTATATTATAATTAGGAATAAAATGATTTTTGGTAGTCCATATTTTGTGGCATTATGTACCCGATCATTCTACTAACCCTATCTTTTAAATCACAGAGACAGATCGGTCTCGCTTACTAGATAAGTTTTGTCTTCTACTCGGAGCGATTATGTTAATTATTGAATCCTTTCAGTTACAATAACATAAATCTTGATAATAATCTGTAACATAATACCAATTTCAAAATATCAGCTTGACAGAGATTTTGTTTTCGTAACACCTAATCGATTTGACGTCATCGGTTATCCTTGTGCGTTTTAACCATCGTGAGAAAACGACACAATAGCTGCCTCGAAGATTTTATTTTTTTAAAATCATCATTCAAGATACAAAGTTGATATCATATCAAAGTCAATAGAAATATTTACTTTAACTTGATCGCTTTTCAGAAGATAAACAACGTGCGAATTTTATCATTACTTACAATGAAGTATCAGACACGAATGAAATATATTGCCAATTCTATGTAATTTAGACATTGGAAACCATGATATATGAGGGAACTTTTACAAAGGCATCCGCAAAATATAAACTTTACTTGGCGATATTGAAAAGCAGTCCGAAGTATTCATGAAATCGGTCGATCCGCAACCATCACCAGCTTATGATAACATCTTACCAATTTGATTGTATAGAGCAGTAGTTCTCAAACTTTTTAAGCCGCGCCCTCTTTTTATAATTTGTCAAGTCTCGCGCCCACCTCAAAAATAACTAGCAAACAATAATCTACCAATAACAGATAGTAAGGCGATAGTATGTTTTATTCGATAAAACACGTTGAAAATACGTGCACATAATAAGAGAAATGTAAATATCCAAAATTAAGCGGGCAAGGTCAAATCTAATAAATTTTCCATTTGAATTAGCTTCACGCCCAGACATAATATGAGAGTTGCACTGTCCCAGACAGAACCTAAAATAGGGTTCCATTACATTTGAACCCACGAAGATTGCACCTACATTCTATTGCACCTATGGAAATGTTTGTTGTTTTACGGATATTTAAACCCATACTAACCCTAACCCATGGATTTAGCACCCTCATATATATTGAACCCGCGAATATACACATGGGTTCAAATGTACGTGGGTTCAAATGTACTGTCACACTAAAATAGATGTACTGCTGAAAGATAAGAAATTGCACCCATTAGACTGTAAACTGACATGCAATGAATGAATGTTTGTTATAAAGCGTTACTATTTAATTTTTCAATTTTTTAGTAAGCCGCAAGTCTTCTTAAAAATTGTAAGCAAACCGATAAGCCAACCCACGAAATTCTTCAAATTGCATATACGTGATTAAAATGGTCGAAGACTTTCATTTCTTCTTGCTATTATCTCCAAGTATAATGATCGACAACAATAAATGATTTGCAACAACAGCTCGCATTATGATAAGTAATGTTTTCATAAACGTGAATTGTTTGCAAACTTGTGTATAAACTGTACTGGATTGATGTGTGCCGTTTAGGAAGTAAACAGGAGTCGCAAAATGTTTAGAAATCTAATTTTCCATAACAAAATTTCACGATACCAGGAAATGAAAACTGGTATTTCCGGTCTCTGAGTTTCCCTTGTGAAATATTCAACTTACGTTCTTGGCATGATTTATTGTTTTGGTAATTAGACTGCATATTGCAATATATAATGGACATTCATTTTCTGTTTCTTTAGTATGACGTCACTAGATCTCATCAGTACACGTACAGTATGGTACGATGTTCATATGAAGCAAACTAACTCTAATACAATATTATTGCTAATTACAAATTCTAGTTCAAATTGTGATGTCTCGAAATGCTGTAGGTTCACCTCGACAAATATTTGATTACGGTGTTTTTAAAATACCACATCTGCATCGCATCAAATTTGGAACTAATTGTAACTTGTTAAATGATTTTCAAGCGTTGGTCGCTATTGACACTCTTAAAACATGTAATCAGAACACGTGTTCAAATTTGCGGTTGACATAAATGGTTTATAACAACAGTAATCGGATTTTCTAATTAGCCTGAAGTGTGTTCACTTCGATTTTCTTACATATTACTCGTAAATTTAATTTGCCGAATTTTCGGTATGTTATTGTATATCAATTTGATTTTTGATGAAAAATATTCATACGATTTTATCGAATTGGAATTCATTTTTTTTGTGCAATAACTTTGTAATTGATATACTGTACTTTATATCAGAACGATAAAAACTTCTTTGTATTGAATGTAACATAATATGCGTAACTTTGTTTTTAGGTCAAATATCATTCCTAACATTCAAAACTAAGATTCCAAAAGTAGAATGATTATTTATAGCCAACATCTAAAAGTTCTGATTGGTTTATTTTTATCTGCACCCCTCATACCAGATAAATTCTTGCTGAATACTTCTTCATTTCTGGTGCATCACAAAAATAAATATACGTTAGTTTATCTTATTATATTATTTCTCGCAACATTCCGGAGGTACAAAAATTTGAAGCTGCTGTTTGTTTGTTGCCAAATTCTTGTGAAAATTAGTTCTTAATCTTGTTAATCCAGTTTTATCGCAAAAAGTTTGTTTTCGTCATTTTGTGGAGATTTTGGTTACATTGAGTAACGATTTTAGTAATTTACGTGACGCGGCAGGTAATTGCAAATTATATCTGTGATTTCATGCTTTCTGTGTTCAAGCGATTAATCATGCTTTTATGAAACCCATTTTCGTGCCAAGACTGTCTATGTTTAGAGTTCAATTTTGCTTGATACAGACTTGAACAGCAATGTTCTACTAAAATGTATCTTGCGCTACTGGTGATATATCATACGTTTCATACGTTAATTTTTCTCAATTTAATTAAATTCGTTCATTAAGCAAACCGTTGAGGCCCATATCAATCATACTAACAAATGAAGAAAAAAAAATGCACTGAATTATACACGATGACCATAATTGTAAGAAATTTTAACTTTTTCATAATTGTAATTACTAAGAAATATCTGAAGCTGGCAGTTGTAATTATTGCAACGATATGTCAGAAATGACAGATTTTTCGTTTTTGTGGAACAATTAACAAAATTTTTCCACAGAAATACACTAAACAGAATAACACCACAATATTTAGTGAACACAACAGATTTAAATTCAGAATTACAAAGTTCGATAACAGCTAGATCAGAGGTCTCCAACACGCGGCCTGCGGGCCGCATGCGTGTATTGTGCAATTATTGCTGTTCAAAAGGAATACAACATCCGGCGGTATAACGACCCATTACACAGGAGGAAATACCATGTTTGTATTGAAACAATTCGTCACGAAAAGGTATTGCAATTAAAATTTTTACTGATGAAACAGAGAATTTTTTTTTCAGACTAACAAAACTTGTGAAGCTTCAGCGAAAGCAAGCTTTGCCATAATTGAGATGATTGAAAAATCGTCACGTTTTGAAATGAAAGTTAACAAATCAGCCTTTCGAACACGACTAACGGACAAGAGTTTGTATGTAGTCCTAATACTAGCAAACCAACGCGACTAAGGCAAACATCGAGTCTCTCACCTCTACAAACGGTGCAAAATATCTAGCACAAGAAAATAAATACGTTTCATGTCTCGTTGGGTGAAAGATTCAAGTGTAATTTCAACAAATATATTCAGATTTTCCTTGTTTATTTTTGTGTATCAATTTTGTACCTAATTTGTTGGTTTGCGGCCCGCGTCGTCAATA